CTATACTATACAATACTATACTATACTATAATATACTATACTATACTATACTATACTATACTATACCATACTATACCATACTATAATATACTATTCTATACTATATTATACTATATTATACCATACTATACTATGCATACTATTCTATTATTTGCCCTAAAGCAAGGTAAGAGATTTGCCATTTTATTTTCGTCTATTAATGCGCTATTTCATAATTTATATTTTCTCACTTTGACAATGCCAGTCACGGTGGTAGACGAAAGCCGAGGACTTGTTCGCAGAATTCAGCAGTCTTCACTCTATCCCCCCTACGGCTTCGGGTGAGAACAATGCACGAATTTCTTTTTGACCCACATACTAACTGCGTCTGAGGCGAGACTGGGGACGAGTGCAAATGTGTCGAGTCGGAGAAGAATGAGAGCCGGCAACCCTTACCAGATACCCCAATTTCCCCAACCCCAACGTCCCGCCCTCCGGCCAGGTCTCCTGATCATGCGGGCCAGGGAGGCGGAGACAGGCTCAAAGCCGTCATGTGGACAAACCCGTGGTCGAGGTGGGTCGGAGGGTACAGCCAGCTCGCATGGTCCAGACGCCCATTCGCCTCGGCGTCTGCCCCAGACGACCGGGCAGATGGCACGAGCCAAGACGGACATGCGCTCGCCCTCTTGCGCCCACCGGACACCTCCCGGCGCCCTCAAACTGGATCTTCTGCCTCTACCCTCCTTCCGCCTGACAGCTGATCGCGAAAAGTCTGCAATCACCGTACCAACGAGGAGACTGTCTACGCTGCCTTGTACTTCTGCACTCTGCCTGACGCCTCTGTCTGAGGCAGGAATCTACCGAACAGGTGCACACAAACACAGACGGGTGTGAAAAATAAGTGCAACGACTCCATAAGCAATGGAGAAAAAAAATTAAAATAAATACTGCCCTGCTGCGAAAGGAGCCGGGCAACTTTGCCCCATTCGCAATCCTTTTAGTATGCACACCTTTTACTGCCCCACAGATTGCCGCCTGCTACCCACAACTTTCCGCGTTGCACACACACACACACACACACACACTGCTTGGCACAACTTTCACGGCGCAACACATGCCAGCCCTGGCGGGAGGAAATCCAATATCAGTAGCATTGCAAGTAGTATAAAGAAGACTGGCGTTGGCCTGTTTGAAACGGTGTATGCAGCAGGTGCGTAAAGTGTCCCCACCAAAAGTCCAGGGGGATTGGTGTTTAAGTGTGATTTTGGCCTTGTGTGACTAGGCCATCAGCTCAACCCCTCTCCCCGTAAGCTTAAAGCTTCCATGCTGTGATTGTGTCGTCCCCGCCATGACAGACGTTGCAAGAGTGTGAAAGCAAAATCCTCCAAACCCCGAGACACGAAAGATGGCACCTATTTTATAAAAGCCTGACTTTATCCACTCAAAGAGAAAGTATGATTTAGCAAGTTTACATGCTCCATTAGGTGAGAAGCTAATTTTCCCATCGCTATTCACAAGCCAGACCTTGCCCAGATCTCCTAAAGTTCATCATACGCAGAGAATGAAGCGGGTACCACACAGCCAGAGCTATCAACCGGCCAGGGAAGAGATGTTGATTGCAAGGTTGGCCCTGTATCACATTTTGTGGTGCGATTCTCGATTACCTACATTCAATATGAGATGAATTCACCCAATTTTGTTTAAGGTCATGTAGGACTGCTAAAAGAAGAATTTTCCCACAATCATATGAGTTGAGCTGACGCTTCCATTCAATTTCACATAACCTTGCTTTCTCAAAAGTTGTTTCCATTCCGGCTGGAGCGGACTGCTACAATAAAGTTAGTAACATGCTCTATTCAATTTGTTCTGGTTTCTTGTTGAATTAATAGCGAGTCTTTCTATTATGGAGTAAAGAGAGGGCTTGATGTTTGCAAAACGCTTTTCTCAATTTCAGACTTGACTGTAGTTTTGACCTCGCATCATCGTCGCATCAACAGCCTCGAACTGGATTTAAATGATAGAGCCGAGGGTCACACGACGAAAATGAATTTAAGGGAAAAAATGCATTGGGTATGCATACAATTTTTTTCGATATTTCAATTGATACTTATTTTCGCATTAAAGTAGAGTTTCGAGACTACCAGTAAATCAGTAGTATGAGATGAGGTGATGAAGGACTGGTAATATAATTTTCACACAATGATATGAGTTGAGCTGACGCTTCTGTTCAATTTCACATAGCCTTGCTTTCCCAAAAATTGTTCTCATTTAATCTCATACTACTGATTTACTGATAGTCACGAAAAGAATACTTAATTCGAAAAATACTTATATTCATATTGAAATAAATACATAAGTCGACTTTAATGGCATCATCGACACCTCTGCTTAAAAATGTGCTATTCGAGAAGCGTTACTAGCCTTAAAATTCACATCTGCCCTATGACCAACCGATGTAGTGGGCACATATCGCAAATATAGGCATCACAACCGGGGTCTGAGGGGTGCTGATGAGGCCCAGGCGAAGTGTGAACTGCAGTACAGTCCGGCCGGAAGAATAATACTTTCTGGGTAGCAAGGAAAAGTGGCATTAAATGGTACCGTGAAGCCTGCTCGGCGTACATTCCACAATTCGGGCATCACCTTATGCCACCTTGACTGAATAGACTTCTTAGCGTCTGATTACTTTGGCTGTCCTGCCCCAGACTCTGGTGAGGATACTTTGCGACTTTCCTCCACTCAGCGTTAAAAACAAAATAAAAGTTATTAAGGATTTCTTCCAAGTCCAGCTATTTTTAATAGACATGGAGATCACGATTAATACAAATAGTTAGAAAAGCGCGAAATTCGAATTATTGTCAGTTGTAAATGAACGCCATAAGGCATGCAATACGATTCAAAGTTGAGTTGGTAGTATTCAAGATTACAAAAAAAGCGGGGCAGACGGATCAGTTGTCGTGTGACTGTTGTCCTTTATGCACATACTGATACTTGTCACGCCGTCCAGCTTTTCGTGTGTACAATAAAGTATATTAAAAAGGAATATTGGAGTCAAAAAAAGAAGAGATATGTTATTTTATAAATAAAAGTTGCTATAATAAAACGACACAAACATGCCTCAATCTTTTAAGGCATTTAGATGGAATTAAGTCAAATGTAAATTGGTTTGTGTGCGAATGTAAAAGTAATATTGCTATCAGTAAACATGAAATCTTTATTGCGACAAACGGGGTAATAATAATGGTAGCATTAATAGCATACTAATAAAGAAACATTTCGCTCAAACAATAGGTGTTTTACTGCATTGCTAAAATAAACTTTTTGATTTTTGGTACAGTTTGATCATTCTTAGATAAAGGATTACATTGAGAAACGGGGAAAAATTGTACATTTTATTTTTGTTGTAATCTTTTTTAATAGAATTTTATCACATACATGACTTTTTATGTTATCAATTCTTTGAAAAGTAAGACATTTTCACAATACAATGTATTTGTAGTAATCGCGACCTGCCCGTATTCTGGCATTTGCCAGATCCCGCAAAGGCTGTTGTCTGTCAGCTTGGTACCACTTTTTCAAAGAGGTGCTTCTCATCAGACTGAAGTTGGTTTCGAGAAGATAAGCCAAAAAATAGGATTTGAAAGAGCCATGCCCGTCTGGGTCGTGGCCATGAAGACTGAGATTGTGGTATGACCTCGTTTTCACATGCATGTATTATGTTTTTGGAAGCCTCAAAAGTAGCGTGAGTAAATTTTCATTTCAGAAGAAATTAAACCGGAAAGGATCTTTGAATTGCCTTCTGAATGATACTCTAATCTGGGATGGAATGGGGTTTAGGCCTCGCCTAAATCGTGTCCATTATTGTGTAGAAAAATCTCTGTAACAGAAAACGATGACTGCAAAAGTGGGGTATCTAGGTTCTATAATCACATGAAATGTGGACCCCTTTCACCTAAAAGGGCCGCCTAAGCCACTCAGCTTGACCCAATTCGAGATGAGATGAGTCTTTTGAAAGTCCAAGAGATAGCACAATTAATGAAATTTTCTGAGTGAAACAGGCATTAACTCAAA